TTTCTTACGCTAAGCAGTCACGAGTAATGTGAACTGAAAACAACTGAAAGCCCAAATACTATTACTAATAATACATATCAGGCCATTTTGGATAAGCAGAAACAATTACAGGTAGCGTATACTGTCCAGCTAGATGACGACAAATTGGAGATGAAAAGAGTAAGTGCTGCAGTGTTTGTACGTCCCTTCTGGTATCTCTTAAGTTTCTTCTTACGCATAGTTTGATAGAAGAAAGTATTATCGTTACAATGAGACTTCGCCGACAGTTTTCCGTTGAATTGTCGTGAAGATATAAGCACCGCGGCAACTACCACGAAAAAAAGGCACCCTGTGTACAAAAATGTGTTTTTCTCAATATGCATCTTCACTCAATCCAGCCACATGACGAGTACTCAAAAAATGATACGATCGGGCAGAGATTTTTACCACAGACACTTTACATCCTATTTCAGGTTCAGAAGTCTTTTAAGACGTTTTCGTTTTCAACTTTCAGTGTGATACAATATAGAAGGAAGGAGTATTTTTTTTTTTATTCGTATGTGTAGAAATGCCTCTAACTTCTTTTAAATCTTTGAATTTTTATTTCGCTTCACATTGAATACAACACGATAACGACACTGAACTGATGATATATGTACATTGATGATAGCGGACTGTATATAAAGCAGAGTTTTGTCATGTAAGTGTGCTTTTGTTACCTCATTCATTTCGGTCCGTTTTGCTCAAATTAATGTAAACAATATTAACAAATAATAGCAGCACTGACCATCGAAAAAAACAATTTTCAACACCAACTTCTTCGTACTTTGACCTTTCAAATCTCACAAAAATAAATATATCATACATAAAATCATCAAGCACACTTGTACTGTATTATAATAAACATCATTAGTTAATTTCATATTTTTTGTATGTATGCGAAATATTTCTAAACATCCAGTAACATCTGGTATACCAATTTCAACTTCATGGTCAGAGCGACCGTCTTAAAAGCAAGTTCAGTTGAATTTGGGCGACTTGTGGCAAATATTACTATGAAATGTGAACATTGTATCAAGCCATCCGTTAATGTTAATAATTGTGAAACGACACGACGTTCGATTCCAACGTGTGCTTTTTCACGTTTTGGTGCAATGGTATCTAATTCATTGATGAATATGATGGCTGGTTTGTGTTTTTCAGCTGCTTCAAATGCTTTCCGTAAATTTCCTTTCGATTCACCGATAGATTCTGATATTTTTTCTGGACCATTAATTAAAAAGAAGTATGTAGCAGTTTCATTAGCAATAGCACGAGCAATGAGCGTTTTGTCTTAACAAACAACAACGATTAGATCATGTTGCATTAATGTTTTCAAAGATTTATAGATTTTATGTGGCCCATATAGGAGATTGCCTCTGGGTACCTTGACAGCGACTGTAGCGAAGAATTCTGGATGTCGCAGTAATGAAAAACTTTGTATTGGCCACTGATGTCCTGCATCGTGTAGTCACAAGGAAACGGAGAGGTGGCAAAAAGCAAGCCCCACATCATCCGGCATCATTGATCCCTACTGTGCTTACTACGACCATCCATTGGCCGATCACTTTGGCGTCGGGCGAACATATTTCAAGGTGAAAGCGCAATTTTGGTAGTCCCGCATGAGGTAGACCATCGAGCAATATGTGGCATCCCGTGCCAAGTGTGCTCAGTGCAATATCTTGCGCTCCAAAGTGCCTGGCCATCTTACACCAGACGAGGTATTTCAAGTCCTCCATATGGACTTTTGGGGTCCCACGGATCTATCCGAGGAGGGCAACCAATATGTACCAGTCATCACTGGTAATCTCTCAAAGTACGTGTTTGCTGAAGCCCTCCCCGACAATACAGCCACAACAGCAGCCCGAGTATTACTCGAGAAAGTCATCTTGGTCCACGGGGCACCACAAAGGCTCATCGCGGACAATGGGATCCATTTCAAGAACAACATCATGGTAACAGTCACCGAGAGCCTTGGAATCACACATGCATTTTCAACCTCCTATCATCCGCAAACCAATGGACAAGTAGAGCGATTCAATGCGACCTTCGGGCCTCAGCTGGCCAAATATCAGGACTCGGAGAGAGACGATTGGAACCGTCATCTTCAAAAATTGTTTACGCCTACAACAGTGGTATTCACTCTACTACGGGCTTCACACCTTACGAACTTGCCTTCTGTCGAAAGCTCAAAGACCCAATGGATCTCGTCTCACCTGTTGTCAAGTTACCACGAACCGACGATTTCTACAAGCGACTGGAACCCATTCGCAAGATTCTTGTCCAATAAGCTCGATTCGACATACAGCATCAACAGCGTATCGCGAAAAGTCGATTCGACGTCAATCGCAAGGACCCTACTTACAATGTGGGTGACCTTGTCTACGTGACAGTATGCACCAACAGAAAGAAGCTGGATAACAGACGAAATGGGCCAATGGTAATTATCAAACTCCTTGGCAAACAGACATATCTGGTCCAAAATCAAACTTCGGGCAATATCAATCAAGTACACATCAACCGCTTACAACCGGTTGTTGTACGCTAGGTATAGGTGGTTACCGACAATATATTCAACGATTTCGGACAACGGCCTCATCGGTGTGGCAACGACGAAGGCTCAAACCTGACTTCGCCCCGACAACTTCGATTGGCGACACTACGGCAAGTCATATTCGATCAAGGAGCGGGTTCCAAGTAGTGGCAGCTTGAACATTCGAATCGGAACTTCATCTCGACAACTTAGGTTGGCGAAAGCAGGCAAGCTTCCTCCAAGGCTCGAACCGGGTACTTCGCCTTGACGATCAATATCGGCGACAAACAGTCAAACATCAACCTGTACATCGGTCGTTTACACGTTTCGTTCATTTTCCGAGCTCGAGACGAGCATCTTCGTGCGGCAGAGGAGGTGTTACGACCCACCTCTCTTAGTGTGTCGTAAGAACATCTCTTTCCTTCCTTTCTTTCTTGTTTCGTGATTACGCAACAGTCATAGTCCAATATTGCACAACGTATGCACATAATTCAATGTTGCGCAACTATTGTTTCATTCTTCCTCGTCCTCTCGCAGTGGGTTTCCCAACTCATTGAAACTTCTATGTTGCGTATGTTACGCATTATCTACGCAATCCTCGAGCGCTCGTATATATAGTGAAGATTTTCCTCTCATTTTGATTCGTAGCGTTTAGCGTATTGTACTTTATTGTATTGTTCTATCTTCGGTGCGAATAAATATTCGAAGTAAGAAATAGACTCATCACAGGTCATGTAGAGTTGGGGCATGTCTCATTTTAATCAGAAATTTGTGGGCTACAATCATGTGTCATTAAGAAACGCTTTTTTCAGGAGTTTCTGAAAAACTGGTTCTTCAGAAAACCGGGTTATCAAGACCTATCGGAAAAGAATCAGAAATCTGCAGCTATAACTGTGTTCTCGACTCCAAGGGGGTTCGAATGCTGCGCGAAACAAGGCGTCATCTTTTAAGGCAAGAGATGTGATGCGTTTTTGAGCGGAGGGTCACGTTTTTGAGTTCCTTTGGAAAAGAAATTTTTGCCGCCGGCTTATTATTATGTGGAAACTTCAAAACCATATTTCTATATGTATTTCGTAATGCGGATTCAGAAAAAAAATATTTCAAAGCTCCGAATGCAATGAGAAAAACTATCGTCGTTTTTCACGAAGGACGTTCATGTTAAGTGAACTACAAAGAACGCGTTTTCAGAGATCGATTTCATAATTCATAGTAGAGATATACTTGTACAATGGATAGAAGTAACATTCAGCGCAGTAACAAAGCTTTTAGGTTAAAGAACATTATGCAAAACTGTTTATCTCAGCAAAATCTATCATCTTATGCGCATATGTTCCCACGTACGTAAACCTATTTTTGCAAATGCTCTTCGTTATAAGTAGTATTAGACATCGACTACTTATGCTTCAGATATGAACTCTTAATCAACTTCTTAGACCGACTCTTTTTTGAGATGTTTAGCCATTTGTCTAAAGTTCAATAGTTAATTTTTCTAAATTGAAAGATAGAGAATTTTGTGCTCTCTGGATCTCACTCATTTACAGTTTCATACAATGTTTTCTAAAACCCTCGATTCCGAACGTCTTACTATAGCCAAAAAACTAAAGTCTGTGAAAAATAGGTTCAAAAGTTAAGTTGTTTCGGATTTATCAGTTTATTGCACAAAAAAATTTTCCCAGAAGACTTGACTACAACATTTTGAAAAGCATCCCTAGTGAACGTACTCATCCGATGAGTACGACTTTACTCATAATTCGTCCATGAGTACTCATATTGGTACTACTAACAATTTCTGAGTATTGTTCATGTGAGTACTCAGGAAATATTCATTCACCATTTTATTTTGCTAAACTGAAACTGTATAAAGAATGTAGAATTTAGTGAAGAAACACAGAATATTTATATTATTATTTTCTCACTGGTCTCTCTT